CTTTGGACTTCTCAATTCAATAAGATCTGTTGTATTATTTTTAGTCAATATAGAGATTAAATAATCTCCTCTGACTTATATTCACGCTTTTAAAAACTAGCATAAAATATACTTCTTAAGGAAAGCTGGACCGTAGTGCTCATCAACCTATAATCCCCAGCACTTTGGGAGGTCCAAGGCCAGCAGTAGGATCACCTTGAGTCAGAAGTTCAAGACCGCCTGCCAATGCAATGGTGAAACCCCGTTCTCTACCTAAAAAAGTACCATAACAATAACGCGGCGCAGTGCCCTCCACACGTATAATTCCCAGCACTCTGGAGGCCAAAGGCAGGCCAGAGGTCCCTGAGGTCCAGAAGTTCAAGACTCAGCCCCTGGCCCAACACAATTGTGAAAGCCCCCCCATCTCATAAACTGAATAAATACAAAAAATGTATTAGCTGGGTGTTGTGGCGGCACTTCTGTAATCCGCAGCTCAGCTACTTGGGAAGGCATTGAGTGCAAGGTAGAATCATTTTGCTGAAACAGCATGAAGGACCAACAGCCTGCCCTGTAATTTTTACAGCCAAACCTCGTACTCAATGCATTCCCTCTGACGCAATGCTATCAAGTACTACCTCAGAACATCCATCACTGGCTAGCTCACTGTGTCCCCGATGTTGTCGGAAAGAAGAGAAATATGACCTTAGAATCAGTAACTGGCATGGCTAAGAATAAAACAGACATATTCTACCAACATCCTTCAGTATGCACTCTGATTAAGAAAATCAAGCAAAATCTGAAATATCATTAATATGCTTTTTTTTTTTTTTTCTTTACAGTAGAACACTCATGTTTCTGACTCAAGGAAAATTCATCTTTAGCAAAATACTTTAATTACATTCCTTTGCAACAAAAGGAAAAGGACAAACAATGGTACCTGCCACTTTGTGAAATCCCTGTGGTTCCCGCTTTTCCTGACACGAGGAGACCACCCTGGACTTGTCACTTGTGGGGCAGACGTCTGAGGAAAGCTTCCCACAGACCCGGAAGTAATAGGTGTATTCGCCGGCACTCACGATGGTGTCGTTGAGGCCCAGGGGCTTCAGGTCATACAAGTTGCCATGCCTTGGGTCTTTCACCTCACAGTTGTCTCCTTCAAGAACATGGAAGAAGTGAAGGGCCACTGCAACCACACACGCATTCATATTTTCAAGCAAAAAGCTTTACAAACCACCAGGCACACTGGCTCACGCCTGTAATCCCAGCACTTTGGGAGGCTGAGACGGGTGGATCACGAGGTCAAGAGATCTAGACCATCCTGGCCAACAGGGTGAAACCCCGTCTCTACTAAAAATATAAAAATTAGCTGGGCATGGTGGTGGGTGCCCTGTAGTCCCAGCTACTCAGGAGGCTGAGGCAGGAGAATAGCTTGAACCCAAGAGACAGAGGTTGCAGTGAGCCAAGATGGCGCCATTACACTCCAGCCTGGCAACAGAGCAAAACTCCGTCTCAAAAAAAAAAAAAAAAAGTTTTACAATTTTGGTTAGGTAAATTCCAGCTACAAATGGGCATTAAAAGCCATTTTCACATGATTTTGTTAATATATAATACAACTCGCCAGGCAAACAGCTTTCTAGGAAAGTCTAGGTCCCTGAAAAAAGACTTGCTTCATCAAACACAAAACCAAACCCCACATTAGTGTCTTCAAACATCAGATGCCAAAAACCCATCGATCCAAGCATGCAAGAAAAATGTCACTGGTGAAATTAGCAATGTGCTTCAGTAAAAAGAAAAGCTCAAGGATGAGAAATTATCTACCCCCAGCGTGTGTCTCATGACCCCAGCTATGGCCATTACCACACGGTCTCATATCTAAGGCATCGTTCAGAACGTCTGCTACCCTATACATTTAAAATGACTCATAGGGACAGGTCCAGTCCTACCTTCCACTCTGACAATGGGACAGGCTTCCACAGTTCTCCAGATAAACACGTACTCACAGCCATCCTGAAGCTGAAACGTTGGTGAGCCCTGTAATATAAATCAACAGCCTGATTTGTTCCCTGTTTATTTTAAAAATTAATCAAATGGGGCTGGGCATGGGGGCTTACGCCTGTAATCTTAGCACTTTGGGAGGCCAAGGTGGGCGGATCACAAGTTCAGGAGTTCAAGACCAGCCTGGCCAAGATGGTGAAACCCCGTCTCTACTAAAAATACAAAAATTAGCTGGGCGCAGTGGCAGGTGCCTGTAATCCCAGCTACTCGGGAGGCTGAGGCAGGAGAATCACTTGAACCTGGGGGGCGGAGCTTGCAGTGAGTCAAGATTGCACCACTGCACTCCAGCCCGGGTGACAGAGTGAGACTCTTTCTCAAAAAAAAAAAATTAAATACATGATAGCCACAGTTAGTACCCAATCTTTGACCTCCATGTGCAAACTACATAGCATTTATTAAACATTTAAGACCTGAAGAAATGAGTGCATTCTCGTCAAACCCCAGCAATGGCCGAAACTCCATGAAAATGCAGGCAAGTTTTAAACAAGCTGGAAGATTCAGAGGTTCAAGGGAAATGGGAAATGGAGTGACCGAGGGACAACATGTCATCGCTGGTCTGAACACACACCGATATCTGAGCACACTCAAACGTGATCCTGGTGGAGAAGCGCTGGTTCCCACACTTGTCACCGTTGACATACATGATGCTCAAAGATCCATTAGCCGCAGCTTGGGGACTCATCTGCACCACACCCAGGTTCCAGTTATTGACTTCTGACACTAAGCAAGACCCCATTGCGCTGCCTGGAAGAACAGAATTAGCGGTTTAGGCATGAGGAAGGCAATGACCTTGAGTCAAATGCTCTAACAATATGAACAGACGCCAATCAAGAGACCAAGTGGAACTCACCATGGCATCCAGGAATGTCAGGGAGAGGACTGCAAACGCTCAAATAGAAAGTCCTCTTCCTCCCATCGACAGAGGTGTCGACAGCCGTCCAAGGCTTCCTGACCATGCTTAAGCCACTCAGGTCATACTCATTTCCAGCCGGGTCTGAAACAACAAAAAACCACGCTGGAGAACTCTGCCTCCTTGTGAGCTCTCAAGAACGGCCTTTCACCCTAAATAAGCACTGAGGAGGCGTGAAGCTGGCATTCCTAACTATGAGAATAAGGAAATCCACAGGAGGCTGAGAGGCTTTGCCTACAAAACACGCCCGCTCTGTCCCTCAAAACTGCCCTTCACAGCCGGGTCTGGTGGCATGCACCTATAGTCCCAGCTACTTCGGAGACTGAGGCAGGAGGATCACTTAGGACCAGGAGTTCAAGGCCAGCCTGGGCAACACAGTGAGACCCTAAAGACTCTTTAAAGAAAAAACCAAACCCCCACTTCCATTGACAAGGAAGTACCACTGCTGCAGAGGGGGCAGGGCCAACCCCAGAGATCACGGTCTGCTGCATACACTGTTAGCTTCCAGGGCACAGCTTAGGGAGTTTTAACATTTTTTTCTTTTCTTTTCATCCCCAAATAAGCAGCTCTGACAGTGGATGTGAAATGTGTTTCCTCTGCGTTTTCTTCTGTGTTCTGAAGATGCATCTGATCCCAAAAGATAGCTTAAAACTTAACTATACAGTCAGATTCTCTTCAAGAAAAACATTACAACTCTAGGCATCATTCAAAGAAAATATGTAACAGAAATGGCATGCTGCCTGCAACACCAAGCATACACACCACACACACACACATATACACACACAGAAACACACCTTCACATCCACTCACACACACACATACACACACAGACACACACCTTCACATCCACTCTCACACACACACACACAAACACCTTCACATCCACACACACACACACACACAGAAACACACCTTCACATCCACTCTCACACACACACACACACACAGAAACACACCTTCGCATCCACACTCACACACACAC